CGCCGGCCCCGCTCCCGCTGCCGGCGGCGCCCCCGCCCGCGGCCGCCGCCCGGCCGGCCGCCGCGGAGGCGTCCTGCCAGGAGCAAAGGCTGGGGACGGAGCTGGCCAGGGTGGCTGCGTCCACGCCCATCTGGGGTGCCACGATTGGGGTCACGGAGAACACCGCCGCCCCCTTCAGGGGCTCGCCCCGCGCGGCGGGGGCGCTGCGCCCGTCGGCGCCGCGGCCCTCGTCTTGCTCCTGCTGCCGCTGCCCCTGCTCCCCGCCGGCTGGGTGCAGCTGCTTCTGCTGCTGCTGCTGCTCCTGCTGCTGCTGCCGCCGCAGCGCCTGCCTGCGTGCCAGCAACGCGCTGGAGCTGGCGGGCGGCGGCGCGAGCTCGTTGTCAGCGCCCACCCCGCAGGAGGGGTGGGGCGGCCCAATATCCATGCACGACACGAAACGATCCATCATCTTCTCGGGTGGCCCATAGTCCTCCTGGTTCCACAGCTGCTGCTGCTGCTGCTGCTGCTGCTGCTGCTGCTGCTGCTGTTCCTGCTGCTGCTCGACCAATGCGGGCTGCAGCCGCCCGACAGCCAGCTGTGCCATCCCCGCCTCCCACGCCGCCGCCTCCGCGTCGCCCCCCGGGCCGCCCCACGTCGCCGCCCGGCTGTGGCCGCGCACGCGGGGCGCGCCCGCGCCGCCCCCGCCAGCCGCGGGGGCCGGCCCGAACCCGGGGATGCCTGCCGCGAGCCACGCGGCGACGGCGCCCTCAACCTCCCTGCCGGCGCTGAGCGCGCGCTGTATCATCACCTGCGCGCCGCCAACCGGCTGGCTCGCCACCGCGGCGCAGGCGCCGGCGCCGCTCTTCTTGGACTTACAGCCGCCAAACAGCGACGCCAGCGCGCTCGAGCTGCCCTTACGCGACTTCTCCTCGCCGGCAGCCTGCGCCTCTGCTGCAACCGCCGCGGCCGCCGCCGCCGCCGAGCTGCCTGTGCTTGAGGTGCTGAACAGCCCCCCAACCCTGGCTTTGAAACCGCGCCCCCGGCTTGCCGCGAGCGGCGAGCGCGGGCTCCCGCCCGCGCACCTGGTGCAGCTGCCCCCGCAGCTGCCGCCTACTCCTGCAGCTGCAGGCGGCGGGCCGGAGTCGTCGCCCGTCGCGGACGCCGCGGCTGCAAGGCAATAGCTGGGGCCGCTCGCTGCGGCTTGCACGCTGCTGTGCACACTCGAGAAGCTTCCGCTCGACTGCTCCGAATCCGCAGCCTCGACAGGCAGGCGGCCGCCCGAGACACCGCCGCCCCCAGCCGACACTACCCCGGACAGCTGCGGCGCCGCGGCCCCCGCCGCGCTGGACGACCGAGAGGCGTGAAGGCTCGCCGCCTCCTGCGGTTGCGCCGCCTTGGCGCCGCGCGCCCGGCCGAGCAGCAGCGGCACGAGCCCGCCGGCGGCGCGCGGAGGGGCCGCCGCAGCCGCGGCTGCGGCTGCCACAGCCGAGGAAGATGCGACGGATACAGAGCCGAGGGACCGGCTCCCCACGGAATTCGGCCCAGCCGCGGGTCTCGCCGCCGCGCCGGCGCTCAGCTGGGACGAAGCTGCCAGCGCGGCGGGCTGCTGGGCTGACAGCCCTGCGGCGGCGCCGCGGCTGCGCGCCGTGGCCTGGGGGATGCCGGCGTCGACGTTTGCGAGCGATCCGGATTCGGAATCAGACGGCATGGAGCCGGTGTGGAGCGCGTGCCATTCCGGGAGGCGGGCGCCCGTCAGGGGGAGGCTGCGGCGGATCGGGGGCGGCAGCGGCGGCGCCGCGGTTGGTTGCGCTTGATGGACAAAGGCAGGTTTGGCGTTGTTGCCGGGATGGGCGCAGCGGGGCGGTCGCATCCTGCTGATGCGTGCGGGCCCCTGCAGACGGAGGTGGCGCGGCGCAAGCGCGGGCGCCTTTGGACGGCGGATGACGCTGACTATGCCTGGGATCAAGGTGACCCCAGCAACAATCCAGGGATGTGTTGCAGGCGTAGCTGGCCGATCCACGGTTGTTGAAGGACCCCAGATGACATGTGAGTCGCATCAGAGATTCCGTGTCGCGCAGACGCGCACTCACCCAAAACTGCGGCCCAGCACCGGCGACGAAGCAGCGCTGCCCTCCGGCCCGAGCCAGCACGCCGCTGAAGCCGCCTGCCGCGCCCGCGCCGCCGCGCCGCCGCCGCCGCCGCCCCGCTCCCACCCGCCGTCGCTCTCCCCTCCGGCGCTCTGCACGAGCGCCCACGCGGCGGCGCCTCCGCCGGCTGCTGCTGCTGCTGCTGCTGCTGCTGCTGCTGCTGCGCCGGCGCCGCCCTGGCGGAAATCGGCACCCAGGGGCTGGCGCCACGCGGCCTCGTCCATGCTGCGGCAGCGGGCATGCTCCATCTCCTGCGACGGAGGGCGTAATGGGGCGGAAGGGCGTTGGGTTAGGCGCGGTTGTGGCTATGTACGGCCTCCATGTGAGGTGCGGCGCGGCGGCCCTGGATCGTCGGCGCCGACCTGCGATCGTTCAGCCAAGCCTGCGTTGGGTACTGTGTGGCAAGGAGCCCATGGCGAGACGCAGGGTTGCGTGAAAGCAATTTTTGCGCACTGATCTAGGTGAAATATTGATCTGCCGACAGCGCACTACGCAAGCAAGACGCGCGGCTCGCCTGCATCAGCCTCTTGCCGCTTTTCTTCTTCTTCTTGAGCCAGAGGAACTTCCCACTGAGAAGTTTCTTCTCACTCTTTGACCCCACCCGGCCGGATGCGGCGCCCGCCAGCCCGCCCGCGCCGCCTGCGCCGCTGGGAGCGTCGCCGCCGCCGCCGCCAAGGGCCGCCCACCGCTCTGAACCTGCGTCGCCCCGCCCAGCTGCCCAGGCGGGCGGCCCGGACGGGTTCAAGGCGCCCATTGCGTGCTGCAGCGGCAGCTGCCCCGAAGCTGGCGTCCCCGCCACCTCGAGCCGCCCCGCGGCCGGGGACGCCCGCGCCGACAGCGGCGCCGGCGCCGCGCCCGGCCATTGCGGGGAGCTGCAGAGGGCTTGTGGGGTCGCCGACCGCGGGCCCTCCCGCGGCGGGCCTGCGACAACCCGAGCCGCCGCGGCCATCCAACCGTCCGCCTCCCCGGCGCCGCCACCGCCCCTCCACTGCTCCAAGGCCGGCGGCGGCCCGGCCGCCAAACACGCAGAGCTCGGCGTCGCTCCCTCAGCCACGGCGGCGCGCGTCCCATAGCCCGCGCCGCAGCCCGCGGCGCCGCCCTCGCCGCCGTCCCCGCACCCGCTGCCGCCGCTGCTGGGGCATGAAGATGATTCATCAAAATCATCGCCGCTCGCCGGCCCGGCCCACTCAGGCAACTGCAGGTCCCTGGGCGCCGCCGCCGCAACCCCCGCCGCCGCCGCAGCCGCCCCCGGCAGCGCCTGATTGGCCGCCGTGCGGCTCTGCCGCGTAGCGTCGGACCCCTCCGCGGATGCCGCCCGCGCGGGCGGCGGCGGGCGCGGCAGGAGCGGCGCCGCGGGCGCGAAGAACGGCATTTGCAGGTCCATCGCCGCAGGGAAGCGCAGGCCCGACGCGAGAGCTCGCAGCAGGCGTCCCTCCAGCCAGCCGGACACGCGCTGCGCGAGCGCGGGGTGGCGCAGCGAGCGGCCGGCGAGGGCGGGGCGCACCGACAGCTCGACCTGAGAGGGTGGGACGTTGTGCGGGGTTAATGTCCACCGCGGCTGACGAGCCACAGGTGTCTGATGTGTTGCTGTGCTGACAGGCTGGATGAATATTGTAGTTGTAGGTTGAGGCACGAATGAAACTTGACCCAGATCAAACAGGCACCACTTCTTGCAGCTGAGCATCGGGGCACCGGCGATGCAATCCAGGGTTGCAGCGCTGCTGCGACCCCGGCCTGTTGCGCGGCCACGCTTCACAGGCGCCTCTCCCTCCGTTTTGCAGCGGCGCACCCGCGGCGGCGACAGGAACGACACCCACAGCCGGTCGCTCGGCGGCGGCGGCAGCCAGAGCAGCACGCTGCCCTCAAGTCGCGTCAGCGAGACGCAAAGCTCCACGCTGATCTGAGACAACCCCGCGGCCAACGCCTCCGCCGCCCTCAGCGCCGCCACGCCCGCCGCCGCGCGCGCGGCCGCGCCGCCCTGCTTCGCGAGCGGCAGAATGCCCAGCAGGCGCCCGGCCGGCGGCGTGCGCGCGGGCGGCGCGCCGGCGGCGCGCG